CTAATTTTACAAAATTGACACAAACCTCATACACAGTATCCTTAAGCCTTGGGTTATCCGTAGGCATATATGGAACAAGAACCGGTAGCTGGCGTAGTTGAGCAAAATGGAAAACCCACCTGAAAAGAGAAACACGATGTTAGAGAAGTAGACAACAACCAAAAACCAAACACTTAGCATATAAAGAGGTAATAATTTGTCCAAACCTCTCCCAGGCTGAAGCAGATCCTCTTAACAATTTGGGGCATAAAGAGGCTGCTTCCGCATATTTTCTTTCCACAATCAGATGATCAAGATACCCAGCTCCCACCTAGATAACCGTGTGTGTAAGAATAAAAAATCGTCAACACAAGAAAAAAAAGAGAACTTAATAGTTGGTTTCTCGACCAAAATCTGCTAGGCTTATGAAACATCTGAACAGAGAATCCTTCGGTAAAATGAAAAGAGTATTTCTCGATTACATATGTTTTTTATTTCTTTGTCAAAAAATATTGCATAAAAAAGAATCAAAATTATGAGAAGCACTTTTCTAAGTATTTTATCACACTTTAGTAGAGAAAAGTGGAGAGCAAGAGAAGGAACAATAAAACAAAGACAAATAAACAGGTTAGTCACTATATATTTTTGAAAAAGTACCTTATCAATTAGTTCGGTTCGTCCTTCACCAGCCTCAACAGCTGCTAGGGCTTTTTCATGGAATCCATGTTGCAAAAGCCAGTTAATGTGATCTTCAGCATCCCTAATAAGAAAAATCATAAGTTGAGGACCGCAATGTTCATTTACAAAGCACTAGAACAACATGGACAAAAGAACAGTGACCACAAAATCTACCTGGGTTTGGCAATCACAACATCCTTTGGAGAAACAATATAGTATAGTGGTTCATCACCAGCTGCCCACTGTCCCCCAGCGTAGCTACTACCTGCACGCATCAAATCTCAGAGTAAGTATTCAAACGTGGCTTTCCTTCCCCTAGAAAACAAACTACTTTCAAACAAAAGTCTGACCTGGGAAAGGAGCATGAGCAAGGGAATAGTCTTTCGCTTTGTAATGCTCAAAGCCGTGTACAGGAAGAGCATCCATCGTAAGTTCATCATTGTTCCATGATACAATGCGTATTTCAGGTCTCTGGGCATTTCCCTGCAGCACTTAGAATCAGACTCAACAACTTCCCAAAATTCATGCCAAAATATGTCCCCATATATCATATCTAACACCAAAACCACCACAAAGAGAGTACCTGACGCGATAGAGTATTGGTGGTGCTAAATTCCTTCTCACCATCTCCTTCAACGGGTATATACGCAAGAATGACAAGAGAATCACCAAAAGGAGCAATCCCTGAAATATAATAGCTGGTTTGGAAAGATGCCACGATATCAACTTGGTTTAGACTAGACATCTGAATCTGCCTATACGTTCCAGGTTTATGCTGGTCTGATTTAATTGATGCAATTTTAACTGATGTTCCCCAACCAATCACCAGGAGGGTGTCATCCTGTAAACAATAGAAAAAAAGGTACACTTTCAAATTAATGCTGTTACATATGAATGTAGACGGGTGAAATAAAATAAAGTAAACATATCAAAAGAGTTATCCATGCTAACCTGCCAAACCAAGTGGGGAAGCAAAGCCTCAGGCCTGGGGCTTCCTCGTGGTTTTTCAATAAATGTAACACGCTGATCTTTGGCCGTATCATAAACTTTAACACCAGCATCATTAGCCCAGGCGATGAGACTTCCTCTCCATTTCACAGAATGGATTGGACCTTCCCCAGAATGCAGCACCTACAGAGTTAGCCTCTTATCAAATTCACAGTGAATAAGTTGTATCCCAAAACGTAACTTACCCACATTATCACAAACCTGGTCTCTAAAACCAAACCACTTCTTGGAGTTCATATACAAGTGACCCGCCAAGCCACCGGCTACAAACCTCTTTGATTGCTTTTTAGTGTAATCTGGGTCCAAGGAAATGGCCTTCATGGGACGATGATAATCAAACTTCATCTTCTCATCATCAGTGAAAAGGCTGTTTATAACAACAGAACCATCGTCGGAACAGCTTCCTATATACTCTCCCTCAGTGTCAAAGTTGAGGTCATTAACCGGAGCAGTGTGGGAACGAAATTCTTTAACCTGAACAAAGCATCATAAAGCAAAGAGAAATTGAACTTTGACCAAACTATAGCTAAAGCAAACTACCTAAACAAAACTGTTCCACCACCAACCGAGAAAACCTAACGAAATGCACGTACCATCTATCAACCTCAGTTCATCATAAGAATATCACCAAAATACTACAACTCCTAAAATGTTGAAATCGACACGCAAACTCCTAAACTGTTCGAAATTCCAAAAAAAGTAAAAAAAAAAAAAAACTCGCCTGATTGCCGAGGAAATCGAGGATATGCACGGTCCCGTCGTGAGTACCAAGGGCGATCATCCTGGCCGCAACAGCGATGCAGGAAGCAGCGTCATTAGATAGCAACGAAGGAACGTTGCCACCCATCCGCTGATACTTGAGGCGTGGCTCCTCCTCAGCTTCATCTCCGTTTTCTTCTGCTTCTTCTTCCTCTTCCTCTTCCTCCTCCTCTTCTTCCTCTCTTTCGTCATCTCCGTCCACGCCGTTTTCAGGCGGAACCGAAGCCATTACCACCGTGCAATTGCAGTAATATATCCCTCCACAGTTCCTCCGATCAGATCAAATCAGACTTCAGCAGGTGAAAATTTATAGATCTGCACTTCTTCCTCAATTAAAAACTTCTTCCTCATCTCGGTGGTATCCTTCCAAATAATTTCATTCAGGATTTTGGTATCTGTAAAAATTAGATTTAAATTAATTAATTATTGCCGATGACTGAAGAGAGAAAATAAATAGGTAAATTAAAATTAAATTAATGATTTGGAAGGCGACAAAGAGAAAAGGTGCCATGTGTGCGAGTCTGGTTACTTTCTTCTTTTTTTTTATCTCCTCCTTTTATTTTTTTAGACCCTTCTCTCTTTTAGACAGAGACGTGGTGGTGTCGTCGTAGCAACTAGCAAGTAGCAACATGAAACTCGAGATTTATGTTGAACCTGTTGAGAGTTGTTTCCTTTTTTATTTAAGGTTGTTGGAAAATAAAGAAGCAAAGACCTAGTACTAGTCCCAATCATAGAAGTCGAAGCTTTTGCCTTTGCCTTTGCCTACACACGTTCTAATTAGAGGAATATGTGATTCTTTCGGACTTTTTGGTTCTAACAAAGAGAAGAATCTCGAGTTTTCTCTCATGAGATCAGACCAATTAAAGATCAACTCCATCTCCGTCCGCAAATAAGTATTTTTGGTCTGGAATTTATCATTCTTTAATTAGGTTTTGATTTTCATTATAAGTTTGTTCAACCAAGATCGACCAAGAGTATGTTCCGACAGAGATCTACTGGTTTTCACCTTCTCTTCTTGCCTATAGTCACAACAAGATTCACACGTACGAGTTAATTTTGTATTGTGTTTTTCAATATAGTACAAGGCAACAGACAACAAAAAGGACAAGTAGAGAAACATGTTTAGCCTGAATTTTCAAGGAAGCTTCTCTTTAGTAAAGTCCTTTTAAAACTGATCCCCTAGGTTTTATCCCTTTCCTTGTATTATTAATAATTCATTCCCATTATAGTTTTCCTCACTATTGTGAATTTGTGAGTTTCTATCTTCTTATTAGTTATAAGTTATAAACAAATGTCATTTTCTTCACTTTTCTTCATTTTCTCTCACTTTTGCTAGTAGTGGATCATTGATTTCTTTTCCTTTTGTAGAATCCTATAAATATAACCCTAATATAATAAATTGGTTATACATTTTAACTATTTTCAACAAAATCTTGATAGGTACAACAAAAGTTATTACTCTAATTAAAGCCATTAAATATATATAACAAGCAGTAATCACAATTATAGTTTGAATTGAGTATAAGCATACATTCTCAAGAAGCATGACTACCACGAATCCAATGTTAAAAGAGAATCGCGTTTTGATAGGCAACAGAAGAATGGACTAGTAGTGGCCCGGCCCCCTACATCTCCTTGATGACTAATAACAACCTAAAAGAACCATCTGTATCTCTCTTACAAGTTTTCTATAGCCAAGTAATCAAGTTGGAACAACATCTGCATCATCAGAAGAGTCTCCATAACTTCATCTGTTCAATGTAAGAGAAGATTTTGGTTTCTACCATTTCAGATAGTTTTCAATACGGCCTTCCAAAATACTGTCGTGAACGTCTAGAAACGATACACTAGCTAGTGACCAAATCCTTCAACATGCAACAAATTATCAAGGAAAAAAAGTAGTGCTGAGCTGTAAGAGAAATTCTGTGACACACTGTTACCATATATATTGTGGTTCTTTTCTAATAATATGGACAATTGTTTTGAATTTGATTACCATATCATAAACGAAATAGTACTGATTTATGTGGATGGAGACACCAAATGCCAACATCAAACGTATATATACACTTCAGTGGGGGACAAACTCAAAAATACATGTTTCGGTATGATTGATCAAGTAATTCGTAGTTATATATGAAGCACAGAATGTTCAGAGTAGTTTAGTTATGTATCGATTATTATTTGTTCGTTAAAAAAAGACCTTGTGTAGTAGTAACTTTGAGCAACGAATTACTATTCAAAATATACCAAAGTGGAGGATGACATGGCCGTATCTGATTGGCTGATACGGTAGGCTAAGAAGTAGTGAATAATTCCAAGGGTGGCGAGTCGGAAAGCGGACATCAATTATGAAATGACAATATTATTTTTAAGTGGTGAAAATGGTATCCTATGCCAACCATTTGTACGTATTTACACACATACAAATCGAAGCATGATGTGACGCAAGAGACATAATTTTGGATAAGCTTCTCCATTAGTTTACATTTTTCAATACAGAAATAATATCATGGTTAACCAAATCTAGTATATACAAATAAATTACGCAAAAAAAACACACACAGATGAATCTAACTAACTAATTGACTCCTGCAGTTCTATAGGTTAAACACACAGGGGCAGTTGAAAAGTTTCACTTACTCATTTCCCCCATACAATTAAGCTTAGCACAAAGAAAGAAAAAAAGCATTTGAATATCCGAATATTCAGTCAAGATTAATACTACATGGGACATTATCGCAAACTACAAACTCTTTAATCTCTTTAATCTCTTTCTCTCTTCTCTCTCTCTGCCTATCACTTTCTAGATTCCAATTCACTTTCGAATTAATATTCTTTCCTTTGGAAGGTAAAAACCCCACGAAACTTTCACATCCATGTGACCATGTCTAAGGTTCTCGAACCCCTAGAAGAAGGAAACACAGTAGAGCCGAAACCCAGTAACCAAGAAGAAGAAGAAGATCATCAAGAGACATCGAAGAAAGAAGAATCTCTGTGTACACCAACCTCGAGTGATCACAAGATTCCGGAGGTTGAGACATGTCCTCCACCGCCAAGAAAGCGACCGCGTGAGATTTGTCTGAAAAAGAAGAAAAGATTGTCCAAAGATCTTCGGTTCTTTGAAGCCACCGACGTCGGAAGCCAAGAGGTAGAGACTTTATTTGTCCACGAACCAAACCATGCCCTTAAGAAACGGAGGAGTAATAGTGCCTGAATCATATTTGATTCTGTAGATACAAGTATTCTCTCTTGTTTCTTTTACTTTACACATGAATTTTCCATCGCTATATTATATACCTATAATAATCTTTAGTCCGAATTCCGTGTTTACATGATTTTTGTATATTATATCCATCTTTCTTTTGTCTTTTTCATAATTTGATCCTCATGTCTTGAAAGATTGAATAGATTTCTGTTTGTAAGATTTAGAAATAACACAAAACTTGATTAGAGATGGGAGACTAGTAGGTGAATTATGGTAGCCATTTAATCCTTTAGGTGTATTCAGTTAAAAAAAAAAACATATTTACTTTTGGTTTGGTAAGTGAAAACTTGTAGCACGAGACATAATTATAAATAGAGAGATTAGATCATTATGATAGTTAATTACTTTCTTCGAACGTTATTTATATCAGAGATCAATTTTTTTTTAATAGCTACCGGGAACCATGATAAAGAAACAAAATCTAGGAAAATAGCTTATGGCGATCAAATAATTGGTGGCCAGTCCAAAAATGTTTAAAATTTGTAATTTGAAAACAATAAAAAAATTAGTTTGAAATTACGTTATAATTTTTGTTCTTTGACATCGAATTACGTTGTTATTCTGGGACGAAATTTGGTTTTGGAACAGTTTCTGGTGAACGTGGTGTTCCGACTGACACAGACTGATGGTTAAAATTTCATTTTTTTAAATAGTAGAAGGCTACGTGATGTTGTCGCAGGTTTTGGAGACCCGTTTATTTGGGCCCGTTTAAATCTGGTTATTCAGCCCATTAAACATTATGCCTTCCCGGTTTGGGTCAGTCAGCGTATTGTGTGGATATGTTTTCTTAACTTTTTTTACAAACACCACGTAGGCACGTAGTAGACAGTTAATCACCAACGACTGGTATTTTGAACGACACGTTTCACCACCTGTCAATCGAAGAATTACTGTTACCCCCCATCCCAAAGTGCCTTCTTTTATATATCTTTAGCAACATTTACGGTTTTACTAACGAAGAAAATACAATGGCGCCGAGAAAACCAAAGGTGGTTTCAGTGACGAAGAAGAAGACAGTAGTGGAGGAGACAGTCAAAGTTACTGTCGCGGAAGGCGGAGATCCGAATGTGACCACAGAGATCACAGAGAACGATCAAGAGACGCAAGATCTCACTTTCTCCATTCCCGTCGGAGAAAACGTTACTACCGTTGAAGTTCCCGTGGAGGTTCTAGATGAACGGTCACCTCAGCCGCCGGAAACTCCAGCATCCACGAGTGAAGGCACCCTGAAGAAGAAGACTAACGAGGTTGAGAAGAAGCAAGAGAAGAAGAAGAAGAAAAATAAGAAGAGAGATGATTTGGCAGGAGATGAGTATAGGAGATATGTGTATAAGGTGTTGAAGCAGGTGCATCCAGATTTAGGGATAACGTCGAAGGCCATGACGGTGGTGAACATGTTCATGGGAGATATGTTCGAGAGGATAGCGCAGGAGGCCGCTAGGTTAAGCGATTATACTAAGCGGAGGACCTTGTCCTCAAGGGAGATAGAATCAGCGGTGAGGCTGGTTCTACCTGGTGAGCTTAGCCGTCATGCCGTCGCTGAAGGCTCTAAAGCTATTAGTAACTACGTTTCGTATGATAGTAGGAAACTTTAGTTTTTTTTTTTCTTGAAATGTTTTTTTCCAACTTGACTGTTAATTAGTGTTAGCGGAAAGTTTAACTTGTAGAGTGTGGTTTCTATAATAATGTGATTATTTAGTTTCGTGTTCTCTCACTTTCTGTAAAATATCTGTAGTCGTCAAAAACGGAGGTCTACGTATTTATTAATTTGAATCATGGTTTATTTTGCTTTCGTATATTTTTTTTTTCTATCTAAAGTACTTCTGTTTTTTGTTTTTTTATTTTTTAGTATGATTAAGAGACATCCATAAGAACGAGAAATTGACCCCAAAAATAAATAAATAAATAGAATCTCTTATAGTAAGAGCATCATTGTCAATGAATTTTTAACCTAATTCTTAACCTAAAATTTAGTTAAAAAAAGCTCTTAAGAATCATCATTTTTTTTTCTTGAAAAGTTTGTGACGTGATACATGACAAATTGACAATCGGCTTTGATCAAAGCTGTTGACGGTTTAACATAATATGTTAGAATTGGTGGTGTATAGCCATCATGTCACTAGGTTGGTAACATAATTTTTTAGTTCAGGCGCCATAAATTTGGTTGCTTTTCCAAATGATAGATTAATATAATGTGTGTCGAATTATATGAAATCCACTACGTACGGTAACCTAACATTATGGGTTATTGTATGTGTTTTCAGAAACAGAGCTATTGACAAGTGATGCATATAAGGAAAAGTTAATGGAAACGGAAAAAGGTTTAAAAGTAGTCATTGCATGCTGAGCACTGAAGTTGGTCGCCGCATATCCCTTGGAAGATCCTTTCTTCTTCACACTCTCCATCACGAACTATACATATATTGATATATACGTGTGAGAAATACGTGTGTGTGTGTCTATAGATTCTATAGTACCATAAAAACACACAAACAACTCAGAATGGGAAACATGTAGTGTAAAGAAAAATTTATCAATTTTTGCATATATAAGCAACTCCAAACGGAATATTCCTTAAGTTTATTCGATTTGTTGAAATATATGGCAAAAGAAAAACGTCAAAAAGATATATAGATGCCACTTCAACTGTATTGTTTTTCTCTTTGAGTTGATTATACTAATTACAAAAGCATACTTTATGGTACAAATTAAAAAGCATGCATCATCACTTTGCAATAACTTTTTCTCAAGTTTCATTACTCTAGTCACATGCATTTTCTATAAAACCCTCTTCCTGTATCTTCAACAACTTATGATCACCATCTATACCCTGAATCATGGCTAACAATAATAGCAAAGACGGGCCATTATATCAAGAAGAAGGTCTTCTGGTTAGTCGTTTAATGATGCTTATTATCATTTGTCTCTTTGCCTCTATTCTTCTAACAACAATGATTGTTCTTCTGATCTTGTCTTGAACCAGTGTAAGGGATCACCCACCGCTACTATACGGTATAGTAAGAAGATTTGGTGAACATGTTCTTCGGACGAGAAGAGAGATCGAGATTTTGACCAACTTGAAAGCGTCTGCAGGTGGTCAACGGCAAGCACAATGGACAAGACACGAAACATTATGCATCTTTCTCTCTGACCGGGCAACTTCGGAACCTTTGGCAATGTTTTTTTCTTGATTTTAAGTTTTCTTACTGTTGGTTGATCTATCTATTTGTAGTAACTCTTCTTGTTATATCAGTTTAACCTTTTACCAAAAAAAAAAAAAAAAAAACTCTTCTTGTTATATCGGTTCGTTGGGAATGGGACACGTATTAATTTCGCTTCTGCAGAAAAAAAATAACAAATTTCAACACGATAGATCAAACGCACACACTTGATTGGAGGTGAAAATAACAACAAAAGAACATGCACTATGAATAGGTTTTGATCTGATTGATCGTGTTTCTTTGTCACATGAACAAAATTTACAGAAGGGAGAAAAACGAAGAAAAAGGCCTCCACGTTTTTCTGTTCTGGATTCTCCAACTTCTTAAATCTTAACGATGAGTCGGCTTTGCGAAACAGATGTTCACTGGGCCTGGGCCCAAATATATTAAATCACTTCCCTTAATCTATTTTGAAGTTAAAAAGAGGGGAGACTCTGGTTTAAACTGGAGTGTCATGGTTGGGCACATTTAAGTGAACCGGACTGGTTAAGGTACTTAACTAGGCTGTCGACCTGTCGTTTCCGGACGGTTTGAAACTTTGAAACCAAAAAACATTATTACGTCTTTTTCTTTTTCTCTTTGATATGGAAATGAATTTATTTCCGCAGAAGATGTTTTGATTGGCCGCAAAAAATGCAGGGGAATATATTTCTGCAGAAAAAAAAGTTTTGAATTTTTTCTTATTTTCTTCACAATACGTAGTTTTTTTTGTTCTGACTATCTCTCTTTCGTTTATACAGTTTGGGAAAGGAATAAAGGCTTCCGTCAAAGCAAAGGAGCATAATTAATCATTACAATGTTCGACAAAAAAAAAAAAAAAATCATTACAATGTTAGTTAAAGTTAAATGAAATTTATTTCGAATCATTCTGCTATATTACTGGAAACTGTAATATTTACATGTGAATCAGACAGAATGTTGATGTTTGTTGTTAATCAAATTGAAACCAAGTCCACAGAATCCCTTTCTTTGTTATTTTCATGTGTTAATGAAACTGTATTATATATAGATGTGAATGAGATCGTTGATGTTATATATGTACGACCAAATTTACAGGTAAACTGAAAAAGAATTAACATGTTACTGATAGTTAGTTATACATATCCAAAGTTCTAGTGATAAAAGTTGCAACATGAAGCAAAGAATTAAACCAAGAAGAAAAATAATAAAAAAGGTAGGAATCTTCCAGCTTCCAAGATTTCTTGATTTATTCACAAGCAAGTGTAAAGAATTAAGAGTATTCAATCAATAGTTTTGGGACTAATCCTTGTACAAAGGCAAAGAATCTAACTGTCCGTGTTTTAGTCCCTTTATATATAAATGTAACGAACCATAAGCAAAGCAATCAAATTAATCATTTTGCTCCTCTATCCTCTCCCCAACAGTTAACTACAAGTACGTCAAAATCTTCTCTGACAAAATGGTTCCTCAAAACCCAGCGCACCAACCTCCTCGGCGAACGCTACCACCGCAACCCCAATCGCACTCGCAACCTCGACCACAAGCGCTGCCAGGTAGACGTATGAACCCTGTCCTATGCATCATCGTCGCCCTCGTCCTCTTGGGACTCCTTGTGGGTCTCGCTATATTGATCACATACCTCACCCTAAGGCCAAAGCGACTCATCTACACAGTAGAAGCCGCGTCGGTCCAAGAATTTGCTATAGGCAACAAAGACGATCACATTAACGCCAAATTCAGCTATGTGATCAAATCATACAACCCGGAGAAACATGTCTCCGTAAGGTACCACTCCATGCGTATCTCAACGGCTCACCATAACCAGTCCGTTGCTCACAGAGAGATTTCTCCTTTCAAGCAACGTTCTAAGAACGAGACGAGGATCGAGACGCAGCTCGTGTCGCATAACGTGGCACTGTCTAAGTTCAATGCCAAGGACTTGAGGGCTGAAAAAACGAAAGGTATCATCGAAATGGAAGTGTATATAACGGCTAAAGTGAGCTACAAGACGTGGATTTTCAGGTCGAGGAGACGTACGTTGAAGGCTGTGTGTACGCCGATCATGATCAACGTTACGGCGAGCTCGTTGGATGGATTCCAGAGAGTGTTATGCCGAACTCGTCTTTAGTTTCAACTATTATCACCTTGCATTGGTTCCATTTGTGTGCAAATTTGCTATGTGCCCTTGATTGATTAATTAATGATTGTGTGTGTTTTTCTTTGGTTTTGTTCTTGTCTGTCACTCATTCTATTTGTTTCTTTTCATATATATTTTTTTCTGGGTTATAAATTGCTTTACATTTTTATTGCTCCATAAGTACTTTATTCAATTTGTTGATATATGGATTTTTTTTTTAATATCAATTTAATAAGATATGACGATTTTATTGATCAACATCTACATGCAAAACTATTACGTTGTCCGAATATGTCGGGGATCTCTAACTAAACTTTGATAAAAACCCAACAGAAACTATTTGATGGAGGTTCCTAAATAAGCAGAGAGGTAAAACAATAATAAATTAGCCGCCAGATAAAGAGACAGTTAACAAGAAAAGAAAAAAGTAATATAGATTGAGAGAGACAGATGATTTAACAACTATTTTTAGCAGTGCCTTCATGCACGTTAATTTCTTCTAATAAAGACAATCTGACACATGAAGATTTTATGTATTTCGTATTTTTCTGGAAACTGTAAATCCTCTATTTCTTCTTCTCCCAAGAAGAAATAGAATCTAGCCATCCGGGTTTGGGTAGAAGAAATGGATGATTATTCATTTAACATTACCTACTGGGAAGAGTTCTCATATCGTGGTTATGGCATAAGTGAAAACGGGGCCTTGTTCTGCGAACAACTACCTCATATTGTGAGCTCTGGTGGCGTGTGGGAGAAGCAACTAATACATCGACACGGGTTGAGTTTATGGGAATACAGTCTTCCCCTTACGGAGGCCGTAATCGTTTTAGTACTCTGTTTATGGCATTTTATCTATTTCTTGCTAAAGAAGATACGTCTCCCGGTGCCAAAATTCACCGCTATGATGCTTGTAAGAGATCTATTCCTCTTTTTTTTAAAAAAAAATATTTTATTTAAAATGTTTGCTTTGATTGATCGGAAATTTTTTATTGAAATAATTTGTTGAAGGCCGGGGCAGCTTTGAGCCAGACAAGTCTTTTGCCGAATGACTGGATGGTCAACCAAATATTTTTCCCGGATGATGAAAGGCCAAAAGTCCCTGAGTCGATTGGTGGGTTCGCTTTTATCCTTTATTGGTTCCTAGAAGGTGTCAAAATGGATATTGGTATGGTTAAGAAGACAGGTTCGAAAGTGATTGTAACAGGAATTGTCACAGTTATTGTCCCCATTTTCGTGGCTAACATGGTGTTTGGTAAGCTAAGAGAGACAGGGGGGAAATACTTGACAGGAGTTGAGTACAGGACAATTTTATTCATGCAGACCATCTCCGCATTCACGGGTATCTCAAGGCTAATAAGGGATCTCCAGATCAATCACTCAGAGTTTGGAAGGATCGTGCTTTCGACGGCTATGGTGGCGGATATAACGGGTTTTGGTGTTAATATAGTTGCCCTTGTGGCATGGTCGGACTGGAGGGTTTCTGTGATCCAAGGGGTAGGGCTTGTCGGATATGTCGTATTCATGGTTTGGGTTGTGAGACCTGCGATGTTTTGGGTGATCAGACGGACACCGGAAGAGAGACCCGTGAAGGAATGCTTCATCTACATCATCATCATTATGGCCTTCGGTGGTTACTATTGTTTGAAGATGATTCACATGTTTCCAGCAGTTGGACCCTTCATTTTGGGTTTGTGTGTGCCTCACGGTCCTCCTTTAGGGTCTGCATTGGTACAAAAATTTGAAAGCTTTAACTCTGGAATACTTTTGCCACTTTTCTTGTTCTTCCCAATGCTGCAAATCGATGGACCTTGGTTAGTTAACCAGATCGGTCAGCTAAGGCATTTTGATGGTCAGCTGTACGAAGCCTTGACCATCATCGTCGTTGTCTCCGTTGCCAAGATTATCGTCTCAACCATTCCTCCACTGCTATCCAAAATGCCTCCGATCGACTCTTTCGTTATGGCACTCATCCTCAGCAACAAAGGAATTGTTGAGCTGTGTTATTTTATGTACTCCGTTGAAGGCAAAGTGAGTTCTGATATTTTTTTTTTTTTTTTTTTTTGTCGTCGTACTTTTTCTTGGTTTATAACATTTTTTGTGTTAAATTTACAGGCTCTTCAACCGAAGTCCTTTACCACAATGGCTACGATGATTCTAATAAGCTCAACGATATTACCAGTGACGATACATTATCTATATGATTCGTCAAAACGATTCATTAGTTTCCAGAAGCGGAATCTAATGACCTTGAAGCTTGGATCAGAGCTGAGGTTTCTATTGTGCATTCACAAAGCAGACCACATAGCGGGGATGATCAACATCCTAGAGCAATCTTTCCCTCTACAAGAATCCTCAATCACTTGCTACGTGCTTCACCTCGTGGAGCTTGTGGGTTTGGACAATCCACTCTTCATCTCCCACCAGATGCAAACGGCTGAACCGGGGAGCCGGTCTTATTCAAATAACGTCTTAATCGCCTTTGATAACTTCAAACATTACTGGAAATCAATAACGCTGGAATTGTTCACATCCATTTCAAACCCAAAGTACATGCATCAAGAGATTTACTCACTCGCTCTCGACAAACAAGCTTCGTTCATCATGCTCCCTTTCCACAGAATATGGTCCCTTGACCAGACAACGGTGGTCTCAGACGATGTGATGCGTAGGAACGCTAACATTAATATCTTGAGACAAGCGCCTTGCTCCGTGGGAATCTTTGTTCATCGCCAAAACCTTATATCTTCGCAAAAGAGCAATCATTCTTTTAAGGTAGGTACACATGCATATATATATTGAAGTTTTGGATGTCTCGAACGCTAATTATGTATGCGCTTGAATTTTTGTTTACTCCTATATGTGAGAGTAATAAGTCATGGGATTATATGAAAAAATATATATATATACAAGCTAACATGCATGTGACTGTTCTACCTTTGTTTGTAAACACTTGACATCTCTTCCATCATCCAGGTGTGCGCAATTTTTGTGGGCGGGAAAGATGACAGAGAAGCCTTGGCATTGGGGAGGCATATGATGAGGAACCAGAATGTGAGCCTAACAGTGTTGAAACTAATCCCAGCGACAGTGGCTGGGATGACCACTGGATGGGATCAGATGCTTGACACGGCAGAGGTTAAGGAGGTACTGAGGAACAATAACACAAATGCTGGAGGAGAACATAGTTTTGTGGAATACGTGGAGGAGACAGTCAACGACGGTTCAGACACATCAACACTCCTTCTCTCGATTGCTAATTCCTTTGATTTATTCGTGGTGGGGAGGAGCGCCGGAGTAGGGACCGACGTGACAAGTGCACTGAGTGAGTGGACGGAGTTTCATGAGTTAGGTGTGATCGGAGATTTGTTGATATCTAAAGATTTTCCCCGTAGAGGTTCGGTGCTGGTGGTGCAACAACAACAGAATGTAGCTTGTAGATGATTTTTATTAACATTCATGTCCATTCTTTATTCATTTATACGATACCAAAATAGAAATATACACTTCTCTCTCACACGAGACACATTTCTATCCCCGAAATTTAATGTGAGAGAACTTTCATTTTTTATCCCCAGATATTTCACTATAATCAATTTTGGAGAGTTTACAAGTTTTAAGCTCATTTCTGCTAATACAATTACAAAGAGAATTACGATAAAAAGAAAAAAGCAATATAAAATTACAAAGTACACAGTATAGACTTTAAATATTCGTTTGATCGTTCAAAAAATGATATTAGATCATTTTACGTACTAAAAATATTCTACGAAATTCCCCGATCAAAATCTTTGTGAGAATCTATTATCAACCAATGGGAGTTGAATTAAAAGATCGTTTAGAGGTGATTCACATTTTGCTCGTATTTCTTGATAGCTCAAATATCACAATATATATATTATTGAATCTAACGTCCAATCAGTTAGCAAAAACTTAATTAATCTTGTGATTATGCTTTACATATCGGGTTGGAGCAGATTAATTTAGAGAAATTTACTAAGGGATTAATTTGGTATATTTAATTTGGTTACATGGATACTAATCTTACCTTGCCTTGATTAGTAATTACTTTATAGTCTCTTTAATACCTACTATTCTTTGCTTTATTATTTTCCTTAAAAGTACACGTATAATGTAATGTAGCTTTAATATTGATTAGTTGTAATAAACGACGATGTACAATCAATCATACGTGTGTTTTATGTTGACAAGAAATAGGATACGGAGAATAGTATAGGCTTATAGCTATTAAAAGAAAAAAAGAATAGAAAGGGCTAAATTTTAACTGTGCACTTTGAGATGCGTATCTGTTGTTTGCTGATCATTCAACTTTGGTCAAAATTTATAACAAATCCTTCCTAGTCCTCTTTTTTTTTTTTTTTAGTGGTTTTAAACTCTTCCTAGTCTTCTTTCTCCCCAACGCTACTCAACAACGAAGAGAAGTTTTAGATCTTGATCCCAACAAGATCTTGATCCCAAAGCTTCTCTTCATAATTAACTTTCAATTTTATTTATTTTCTAAAATGAGTAAAGATTTGGATCTGAATTATTGGGACGTGTCATGGAGAGGCTACAAGGAAGAAAAGAACTCGTCACGCTTTTGCGAGACACATCCTTTCATGGTAAACTCGCATGGGATATGGGAAGTGCTGAGTTACAAGAAAACAGGGATGAGTTTTTCGGAATATCCGCTCCCGAATCTTGAGATCATTATATTTTCTACCTTTTTTATATGGCAGCTCCTCGACATCTCATGCAACAAAATTGGTCTTCGATTACCTAGATTTGCCTACATGATGATCGTGAGTATTCTTAATCTCTTTCATCCCCACCACCTTCATGTTATATATATATCATTACAGCGTATATTCCTAACTTGATGTAATGTATTGTTGTTTTAGGCTGGGGTAATCTTAGGTCAGACTTGTCATATAAGCAACAAGTCTTGGCTCCATAACGTATATTTCCCTGATGATAAACGACCAAAGGTGGCCGAGACTCTAGGGGCTTTCGGATTTCTTATATATTGGTTCCTTAAAGGTGTGACCATGGATGCCGGAATGCCATTTAGGATGGGAAAAAAAGCTGCTGTGATCGGGTTCACCACAATGATGGTACCCTTGGTTTGTGGCACCTTCACCTTCAGATGGAGAGAACGAGGAGGGATAAGCTTGAGAACAACGGAATACAGGTTGATCATATTCTTGCAAAGCATATCCGCGTTCACAAGCGTCGACACGCTCCTAAAAGATCTCAAGATCAAACACTCAGAGTTTGGGAGGATAGCGCTCTCTGGTGCTATGGTGACCGACGTGTTGGCTTTTGTTGTAACATTTTTTAATGCAATCTACTGGGAAGGAAAACATGGCATATTCCAAACCATAGGTTTTTGCATCTTTGTCGGGCTTATGATATATGTTGTGAGGCCATCTATGTATTGGGTGATCAAGCAAACTCCAGAAGGGAGGCCGGTCAAAGATTTCTACATATACTGGATTTTTGCACTTGCTTTCGCTTCGTTCCATTATTTTGACAAGCTTGTTAGTCTTTTCGGACCCGCGGGGTCGTTTGTTTTTGGCTTGACTGTTCCAAATGGAGATCCTCTCGGTGCTACTTTGGTTCAAAAGTTTGAGAGCTTTAATCTTGGAGCTATCTTGCCACTCTTTGGATCATTAAGCATGATGCAGTTAGATCTCTTATGGTTGCTCAAAGAGTCTGGAAATTTAGTACGGATGGAGGGTCAAGTTTATGAGGTCGTTTCCTTTGTTCTTTTGGTGAATGCCTCAAAATTCATTGCTTCCACCATAGCTGCGTATTCTTTTAAAATGCCCTTAAGAGACTCCTTTGCTTTAGCCCTTGTTCTTTGTAATAAGGGTATCTTCGAGATCGCCTACTACATATACTCAGTTGAGAGAAAGGTGCGTTTAATTAACTCTATATATCAATATAGAAGACTAAATAGTTTTATTGTCATACATATGATGAACATCAAACTTATTAAATCTCATCGGACATCTTTCACAGCAAATAAGGCCAGAGGTTTTCACAGTCCTGGCTACCGTCACCCTCTTGAACTCTATCATTATACCAATGGCCTTGGAGCTCGTGCATGACCCAACCAAAAGATTCAAATGTTACCGAAAAAGGAATTTGATGATCTTGAAAGATGGAGCGGAACTCCAATGTCTTATGTGCGTCTCCAAACCTGATCACATAACTTCGATGACCAGCCTTTTAGAAGCTTTTAACCCATCACAAGACTCTCCAATGGCGTGTAACATACTTCACCTCATTGAACTTTTGGGTCAAGCCAATCCCATGTTCATTTCCCACCAGTTGCAACAACCAGAGCCCGGAAGTACGTCCTGTTCCGACAATGTCATAAACTCCTTCCGTCGCTTCCAGAAAAACTTCTTCGAATATACATCGCTGGATATTTTCACTTCCGTATCCATCTCCCAACACATGCATGAGGACATTTGTTGGCTAGCCCTATCCAGAAACCTATCTCTCATTTTGCTTCCTTTCCACCGGATTTGGTCTGTTGATCGATCCACTATCATCTCCAACGATGATAAGCTGAGAATGCTCAACATTAACGTCCTGAAACGAGCCCCATGCTCTGTTGGAATCTTCATCTACCGCAAGCCCGTCGTCGAATCTCATATGGCTAAGTACCAGAGCAAGGTAATTAACTATACCACTTTTCATATTCTTTTTTAATTTATTTATTATAAATTTATTTAAAAGCCATTTTTCTCATTGGGCCTTATTAACGTTCTCGTCTCTGCAGATATGTTTGATTTTTAATGGTGGAAAAGACGATATAGAAGCTTTGGCGATAGCAAATCGAATGAGACTGACAGAAAAGGGAACAAGCCTAACGATCATAAGATTCATTCCAAATTTTTCTGAAATGGAGAACCAGGAGTGGGAGAAGCAGCAAAAGCTTAACCTAAAGGAGAGCGTGATCAACATTATTGGTTCCAACGTAAAAAAAAATGATGACAAAGTGACATACATCGATAAAGCGGTTTCTGATGGATCCGAGACTTCAAAAATCTTACGAGCAATGGCGAATGATTTCGACTTGTTTATCGTTGGTAGAGGCAGTGGAGTAGGTACTGAGGCTACTAGTGGAATTAGTGAATGGACAGAGTTCGATGAATTGGGACCCCTTGGAGATTTACTAGCGTCACATGAATATCCTTCCAGAGCATCCGTGTTGGTTGTACAAAAACAAGAGTACATTCATCATACAAAAAGCAAAAAACGGCTAAAGAAGAAGTAATGCAAGATATATATATGTATGTACAACGATCGACCAGCTGCTTCGTGTTGTATTTCTTAACATCGAAGATTAGTTTAGGATGCTTAAAATGGCTCGAGTTGCTTGTGGTATGATAACTTCACGATTTTGATCAAATATTTTTATAGTAATAACAAATTTAAGTATGTTCTTGTGGGCATATATTGATCGTCTCCTTTGTTGTCACAATTCAAATATAGATTCTCTTGTAATAACATAGTCTATTTTAACACACATACTGATTATTAATTACATTAGGATTGTTATCACAATTCAAATATAGATTCTTTTTTAATAATAATAACATGATCTGTTTTATACGTACACATAATGAATACCAGACGTTATCAGTAATTACATTAATTAGGCGTTAAAGATTGAGTTTTGAGGTCCTTATTATCACCCTATCTTGCCATCTTATTTAAAATGGTTAGAGTGTTTATTTAGAGTGCCTAATGAGATCATTTTATCTTAAATTCAAACACCAAAAACACGTGGACCATACAACCCCTATATTTATACCTTATGCTAATTATAGAGATATATTCGGGATCTGTGTGAAAACCATTAGACCGGGTTTTTAAAGTTCTCTGCTAAACCTTTTCATTGCCAAGATTTCTTTTTGTGTGTTTGATTTTGGTTTTACATAGACAAGATTATATATTTGTCACAAATGGATGCAGAACAAGCGACTTGGCGTCAAGAGATCATGTGGGACGACGATGGGAAAAGAGCAGAGATGGGGGAGAAGATGTTTTGCGATGTAAGTCCACATATAATGTTGAACTCACACGGCGTGTTGGAGAAAATGGCTTCCGGATCTGAGGGAATGGAATTCTGGGAGTACCCTCTTCCTCAGCTGGAGATCATCATTCTCTCCACATTCCTGTTCTGGCGTTTTTTTGATATCTTGTTCAAGAAGTTACGTGTTCCTATCCCCAAATTTACCTCCATGATGCTTGTAAGTTATTAGGGTTTCAGATATCTAGATTTGACCAGTCAACCATGTTGGGATAAAATTACACGTTTTCTCTTGTTTTTGAAGGTTGGGGCAGTCTTGAGCGAGGTGTTGCAGTCGGTGAAAATGTCATGGTTTCAGGATATATTTATCCATGAGAACAAGTATATGCCAAATGTTGCTGAGACTATTGGCGCATTTGCTTTTACCCTAGATTGGTTCCTAAGAGGAGTGACTACAGATGTTGGAATGGTCAAAAAGTCTGGAACTAAGAGTGTTGTAATTGGATTCACCTCAATGATCATCCCATGGCAAATAGGAAAACTCATTTATTCATCTAGAGAGAAATCAAGTATCCCGACCATGTCAGGGATGGAGTATGCTATAATGACTTTCACCATGAGCGTGACGCCCTTTACTTGCCTCAACATGTTCCTTACCGACCTCAAAATAGTTCACACTGAGTTCGGCCAAATAGCTCAGTCATCTGGAATGGTAACCGATGTCCTTGCCTTTTTCTTGACTGTATGGAATTACGTAAGCCGCGATGATGGAATACGTATGGGAGTTGCTTTTATGCTCTTCTTTACTTTTTTGTTTCTTGTGCGACAATTTATGCACTGGGTTATCAGACACACGCCAGAAGGAGTTCCGGTGAGGAACATGTATCTCTACATTGGTCTCTTGCTGGCTTACTTATCTTATCTTTTCTGGAGTCACTATTTATTCTTCGGACCGTTGGGGGCATTTATTCTTGGTTTGGCTATTCCTAACGGACCACCTTTAGGTTCAGTTTTTATACAAAAATTCGATAGCTTCAATGAGGGCCTTTTTTTACCCCTCTTTGGATCACTTACCATGATTAAACTAGATTGGTCATTTTTACGCAAGGAGTTTGGAAATGGAAAACATTTCGAGGGACATATGCACGAGTGTTTTTCATTCCTTGCCATCTTATACATGACGAAATTTGCTTCTTCGTTCTCGGTCGCCATAGCTGCAAAGATGCCCTTGAGAGACTCAGTTATCCTAGGTATCATTATGGGCACCAAGAGTAGTTTCGAGCTGGCTTACGTACTCCAAGCCTTCGAAAAATACGTAAGAATATATTTGCTACAGTCATATAAGGATGATCCTCTTAATTTGTATATCTCTGTTTTCATGTTTTTAATGTTTCTCATATTTTAACAGAGTATTAGTCTGGAGCTTTTCACGCTCATGGGTGTATACATTCTCGTAAACTCTTTGTTAACACCAATGTCTATACATATCTTGTATGATCGGTCGAAGAGATCAGCGTGTTACGGAAGAAGAAACTTGAAACACAATTCAGAACTGCAAACGCTGGTGTGCATCAACAAGCCTGACAACATAACATCAATGATTAGCCTTCTTAGAGCTACTTCTCCATCTAAAGACTCGCCAATGGATTGTTGTGTTCTTCACCTAATCGAGCTAGTGGGTCAAGCTAATCCCACGTTTATCTCCCACCAGCTTCAGAAACCAAAACCTGGAAGTCGGTCTTATTCCGAAAATGTCATAAGCTCTTTCCAAATGTTTCAAGAGACTTATTGGGACTCTGCTTCCATAAACATGTTCACGTCTTTAACTTCCGCTAAAGAGATGCATGAACACATATGTTGGTTTGCTCTTGATAAAGGTTCAAATCTTATTCTCCTCTCGTTTCACCGCACTTGGGGGCCTAACGGAAATGACATTATCTCAGACGATCAAACCCAAAGAAGTCTTAATCGTAGCGTTCTGAAACGAGCCCCTTGCTCTGTCGGAATCTTTGTTCATCGCAAACCAATCTGGCAACCCAAATCCGTAGAATCTCCATGCCGTGTACGTAATTATATGCATTCTAAATTATACTCACTTTTACTAACCAAGAAATTTCTAGAATTTTTACTAGTTCATAATCTAAATTATAGTGCATATAAAAAAGTTGTTAATTAGGAGCTGCCACATGAGAAATTGAGATGTTGAATCTTCTTGATGGTCACACACTGATTGCAGGTATGCTTGATTTACGTGGGTGGAAATGACGACAAAGAGGCCTTGGCATTAGCTGACCACATGAGAGGCAACCAACAAGTGAGCCTAACGGTGATTTGCGTGATCCCTGCATCTCATGCCGAGGAGAATACCAAGAGGAGTCGTAGTCAAATGGCAGACATGAACAGTCACGAAGAGAAGCCTCGAGATAACTCCATCATCATTGAATTGACAGTGGCGGATGGCACGGAGACTTCCAAATTTTTGCACTCGGTGGCTTACGACTATGAACTATTTGTAGTCGGTAGAAGAAGCGGGATTGGTACTACGGTCACTAAAGGACTTGGGGACTGGATGGAATTCGACGAACTTGGAGTCATCCGAGATTTGTTAGCATCTGAATATTTCCCTTCTAGAGCTTCCGTGTTGATAGTCCAACAACGAGAATGACTTAGCCTTAACCCTAGAATTAGAAATTACAGCTTCAATCTTGTTTTCTTTTTCTCAAATTAAATTAGAGACTCAAAAACATTAAATCCCACTATAGGGTTCGGGCCCATTAGAGTCCTGACATATCTTGGCCCGTTTCAGGCTGTCCTAATTTGGCCCAATAAGAGACGCGGGCAAAATAATTCTGCCGCCATTATCATCAACCTGAGTTTCTTCAAGGTTTGCAAATTTGCAACTCATGTCCTTCCTAAAACCCTAATTTCAAATTCGACTGATGTTAGCAATTCGATCATCAAATTACCTCCGATGCATACCCTGTCTCTCTACTAAAACCCAATTCTCTCAGTTCTCCTCCGTTTTGCTGTCTTTTAGCCGCAGAGTTTCCCACTTGCGTCTTAGCTCGTGCTACAGAGCCATGTCTTCTTCCCGCCCTTCTGCATTTGACGCTCTTATGTCAAATGCTCGCGCAGCTGCCAAGAAGAAGACGCCTCAGACCTCCGCCTTGTCTCGTTCTCCGAACAAAAGGAAAATTGCGGAAACCCAAGACGCTAATTTGACCAAAACTCTTGTTTCCGAAGGTACACTACCGAAAGCTGAGGATCCCGTGGAGCTTGTTTCTGATTCCGCAAACCCCAGATCGGATAAGTCGTCAATTGCGGAAGACTCGAAGGCCGGAGCCAAAAAGTCTAGGACTTTGAGCAAAACGGATAAAATTGACGAAATGAAGAGCAAAATTGGAATGTTGAAGAAGAAGCCCAATGATTTCGATCCTGAGAAAATGTGTTGCTGGGAGAAAGGGGAGAGGGTTCCGTTTCTGTTTCTGGCATTGGCTTTTGATCTGATTTCAAATGAAAGTGGCCGAATTGTGATTACCGATATTCTGTGTAACATGTTGAGAACCGTTATTGCCACCACGCCCGGAGATTTGGTTGCTACTGTTTATCTTTCTGCGAATGAGATTGCTCCTGCTCATGAAGGTATAGAATTGGGAATTGGTGAGGGTTCAATCATCAAGGCAATCTCTGAAGCTTTTGGTAGAACTGAGGATCAAGTGAAGAAGCAGAATACGGTATGTTGACTTTTTATTTATTTATTTATAGTTTGGTTGCGTTACAATACAATGAACCTGTCTGGTGGAATGTGCTTGCAATAAGGTTTCAGAATAAGAAAGTTAGCAGTTCTGAAATTGAACTCCATTTATAGGAACTGGGAGACTTGGGGCTTGTAGCAAAAGGAAGCCGTTCGACTCAGACTATGATGTTTAAGCCCGAACCATTGACTGTTGTCAAGGTTTTTGATACATTTCGACAAATTGCTAAGGTATTTTGAACCCATGATTGTTTATGGCTTTTGAATACCTGAAATTTTGGTTATGGTTTTAATGAGATTCAATCAACATTCTTTTGTTTGACAATAAGAGATGAGTGGGACTATTGCATGTTAATTATTGTAGGAAACTGGAAAAGATAGTACGGAAAAGAAGAAGAATCGAATGAAGGCACTTCTTGTGGCAACAACAGACTGTGAACCTCTATACTTAACACGTTTACTTCAGGTATGCATCATTTGCCACAGCCTTTTTTCTGCTCATTTGTTTGGGTTCGTTATTCCTTCCTTTATAAATTACCTTGCAGGCGAAATTGCGGTTAGGGTTCTCAGGTCAGACTGTCTTAGCTGCTTTGGGACAAGCAGCTGTATATAATGAAGAGCACTCAAAGCCGCCCCCGAATACCAAGTCTCCTTTAGAAGAGGTTTGCTTTTTCTGTTAGTTTTCGTAGTTTCCATTTTGTTATCATCATCCATTATCTCTGAGTAACCATATATTTTCTGAGCTACTATATCAATATAGCTTGAGGCTTTAAAATATCTATGTAGTATTCTTTGAGAGAGGTCACAATTTACCTCCTATGCATTTCTGTATATTTTTGTTTTTATTATAATATTTTGAATGTGTGTAGTTTTATGTCAGTATACTTCGTTCCTGGATCCATCCTTTTGCTCTCTTCTTGTAGGCTGCGAAAATTGTTAAACAAGTCTTCACTGTGCTTCCTGTCTATGACATTATTGTTCCTGCTCTTCTATCTGGTGGTGTGTGGAATCTTCCAAAAACTTGTAATTTTACACTGGGTGTTCCAATTGGACCCATGCTTGCAAAACCAACCAAAGGTGTAGCAGAGATACTGAATAAATTCCAGGACATAGTTTTCACATGCGAATACAAATATGATGGCGAACGTGCACAGGTGATATCTTGCTGTCCACTTAATTCGAATGAATGCTGTACCTAGGTCTGACTTATTTAAATATGTTGCCATGGTTTGGCTTACTATCAATTAAATTTCTGCAGATACATTTTATGGAGGATGGTACATTTGAGATATACAGTCGAAATGCGGAAAGAAACACTGGGAAGTACCCGGATGTTGCGATTGCGTTATCAAGGTAAACCTCTGGTGTAACTTGTTGAAAACCTTATGAAAGAACAAATCTTTCTACTGAAGCTGTAAATAATCTCTCTGCAGATTAAAGAAGCCGTCTGTGAAGTCTTTTATTTTGGATTGTGAGGTTGTTGCTTTCGACAGGGAGAAAAAGAAAATTCTTCCATTCCAGGTTACATTTGTGGATATTTATGGCACTTTTAACAGATAGTTTTGGTGATTCACCTAATTCTGCTTATGATCATGCGTAAGTTTAGTGTTGATATGAAGAGGATTATTGAAATATATCAACTGCTATAACACTCTTTCTTACCTGGATTAATTTACTTTATGTGAAGCTAGCTATTTTAACTACTTGACTAGATGTCTAGTTTTATATTTTCTTGTTTTTTTTTTTCTCTTTTTCAGATTTTAAGCACTCGAGCCCGTAAAAATGTGAATGTCAATGATATTAAGGTTGGCGTATGCATCTTTGCTTTTGACATGTTATATCTAAATGGCCAACAACTTATCCAGGAGAATCTTAATATTCGCCGAGAGGTCAGTAAGACATCAATATATTTTGTTTTCCCTTGGTTTCAGTGAAGTAATTGTTGTGCAAATATGTAATCATTTGTGTGCACCTTGCTTCAAACAGAAGCTATACGAATCATTTGAGGAAGATCCTGGTTATTTCCAGTTTGCAACTGCTCTAACATCGAGCGACATCGATGAAATACAAAAGTTTCTTGACGCTTCTGTTGATGTTGGGTATATATCTTGACTTCTCTGGATATATAACAAGCGTGGTAAACTTTGGTGTAAATTGTTGCCTAGCATTTTCTCTTTTGTAGCATTTTTTACCTTCAGCTGCACTCACAGAAAATTAGAGGATCTGGTAGATATTTACTGCTTCTGAGTATTTTATTTTATAGAGTCATATCTTACATGTTCAACATTAGCAATTTGACCATGCTTGTAGTAATTGTTGCCTAGCATCTTTTCTTAAGTAGCATCTTTCATCGTCAGCTGTGTTCAAGTAGAGATTCTGGTAGATGTTTACTCATTTCGGGTATCCTATTTTAGTTAGTTCTCAGTTATATGTTTAAGGATATGATTAAATTTGCAAATTTTTACCATGCCTCTAGTGATATATGATATGTCATTGACCCTACTTCATTACCCCTATGCTGTTTCGATTTTCATCATGTGTCTTCTGGATGAAAATTGTATTTTTAGCAATTTTGACCCACACTTATATTCTCTGCAATTCCATGTCTATATATTACATAAGCATTTACCTTGTTATCTCTATAATGTTCCAGCTCTTCATCTATATATTTTGCTTTGCAGCTGTGAAGGTTTAATCATTAAAACATTGAATTCGGATGCTACATATGAGCCTGCAAAGCGATCAAATAATTGGCTAAAATTGAAGAAAGACTATATGGACAGGCAATACTCCTTTAAAAAGTTATCTCAAAAAAGTTTAAATCGAACAGTCCTTTACTAACTGACTCTAGGCTAATGTGCGCAGCATTGGAGACTCTGTGGATCTTGTACCAATTGCTGCTTTTCATGGACGTGGCAAACGCACAGGTGAAAACCATTAAGAATATATTGGATGATACATCTTCAACCTTTATGCTCTTAATAAAGATATATGCTTTCTTTCTAGGTGTCTTTGGTGCATTTTTACTCGCTTGTTACGATGTTGATAAGGAAGAGTTCCAAAGCATTTGTAAAATCGGTCAGTCTAATACAACTTAGCAATTTGCATTGCATACTGCGTTCAGTCTCTCAAGTTACTTATACCTTGGTTTTACGGTTTGGGCTACTAGGTACTGGATTTTCTGATGCCATGCTTGACGAGCGGTCGTCCAGTCTTCGCTCTCAAGTGATTGCTACTCCAAAAGTAGGATAGTTTTTTCTTCTCTCTGGCCTCCTTTTTCTGCAGTTTTATGTATGTCTTTTGCCTGAATTCTTGTTAATTGTAATTTTTCAAATATCCAGCAATACTACCGAGTTGGAGATACCCTCAATCCAGATGTTTGGTTTGAGCCCAGTGAGGTAGGATTATGTTCGCTGTTACTCAAGAATGTATCTTATATTTAACTGTTTTGAAATTTTATCTTATGGGTCAAAGTGAAAGCTAAATAATGTGCTTGCTTAAAGGTCTGGGAAGTGAAAGCAGCTGACTTGACAATTAGCCCTGTGCACCGTGCAGCTACCGGCATTGTGGACCCTGATAAGGTTTAATATTGTCTGACTTAATTTCTTCGTTTCCTTTTTGGTTTGAAACTATCTGCTGAGATTTATTTCTTATAAACCGCGGAGCTATTTTATTTTTGAGCGACCAGGAAATTATAATCTGTTGACTGTTTCAATGTTTTGTTTAAAGGGAATTTCTCTTCGCTTTCCTCGTCTGCTCCGTGTACGGGAAGACAAGAAGCCAGAGGAAGCAACATCATCCGAGCAGGTGAAGTGTCATTCTAGTGACACTCATATGTATTCAAGTCTGGGAAGAAAAGACCAGGCTGGTTTTGAAGTTCTTTCCCCTTTTCTAATTTTCAATTTCTCTGCATGTTTTCAGATTGCGGATATGTACCAAGCTCAGAAACACAATCATCCAAGCAATGAAGGCAAAGGTGACGATGATTGAGCAACTGTAATCTGCTCTCGGAGTATATTTCCTCGTATGAGATTGCGTCTAACTTGCTAATGAAGCACATTGCGTGTTTGAGTCTTCAACAGTAACTGCATATGTAAAACTGTTTTTAGGGAAAGTTAAAGAGCCCTTCTGTGGAAAAAAGTTCTGATTCATTCACTTTCACATGCTAGAAAGAAATCAAATGAGCAAATATGTCAAGTAAGGGTAATAATAATAGTCAGCGGAGGATGAGCCACTCATTACAGTGAATCAATCCTCTTCCTCCTACGTCTGTGATCGATCACAGGCAGGACCAGTTGTTGTTGGAGTGATGTCTTCCTCTATTGTTCATCATTCCGGAACGAGACAGAATCATCGTGGATTTTTTGTGAATCTATTAAAAAAATTCATAATCTAACTTTGTTCAAAAAAAAAAGAAAAAAAAAATCTTAATCTAACAAAAACGTAAAAAATAAACAAATATATAGAAGGTCTGAAGAGTATTTTTTCTAAACATGTAATAATAGGTCTACAATTATCACACTAATTTATTTCAGAATTGTTCCAGTGATTATCATCTAAAAAGTAAAAATCAATGAACTTTTGGATTAGTGTTCTACTAATCGCGTAAGTCCCTTAAACCTCGAGGTGACTCAGAGGTGTTGAACGTCTTCCCATTATCTCTGAACTGGAGACGAAACCGAAACCAAAACGCCTTTACTTAAAAATCAATCTCCGTGAAACTCATAATCGCCCTAGTTTTGTGTTTCGTCGGACGAAGAACAAATGGATCCCGACAGGTATTCCACTTTATCTCACTGACATGGATTTTTGTTATTGAGGTGTCATAATCTTCGCGCAAATAAATGAGAGCTAAGGATGGTCTTTGGTTACGGAACGATCATATTAGCTTATGCGCTTATAGAAGCTTAACCTTTCTAGATAGTTGTTATTCAGTGTATTATATTCAAGTTTCTGTCTTTAGTTCTAGTTGAGATTATTGCTGTTTCAGGTAGAATCTTTACCACTGGGATTCCCCTAGGTTCATTTGAGACTTAAGTAGTTAAGTTTACATTTTTCCAGTTAGTTTTCTAGTGTCTGACCCAAATTTTTGGTTTTCCAATTGAGTTTGTTAAACAAATTTGAAACTTTTGCTATATTATCAGGTTAAATTCTCCAAGCACATGTACTGTTACCATTGAGGTGTTGGGGCACGAATTAAACTTTGCTCAGGTATGTATGACTCTTATATTCCTTGAATTCTTACCTTTAAACTTACATACGTATAGTTAAGACCCAGCTGTATTTTCACCTTTTGATGTCTTACTTCTTTGTGTTTTTTTTTTTTTTTTCTTACTTTTGTTCATCTATTTTTCGTCACCCATGTTCTATGCTTCTAATGCTGTGTCATTATGCCATGATTCTATATGGAAGGATCCAAATTCGAAGCATTTAGGAACAACCGTGTGGGATGCGTCCATGGTGTTTGCCAAATATCTGGTATGATCTTTCTTATCCTCTGAGATTAACTTCTAGGATCGTGTAATGTAGATTGGTACACCATAGAAGTGACTTGATTAACGATGGAAGTTTCTTAGGCTTCACCATTGCCAAAACCAAAAATCCTAAACCAGTCCATAATGTTTCCAATGCATTCTCCTCTCTCTCCCTTTTTAACTCTTTAGCCCTCAACTAACCGTAAGGTCTGTTGCTGTGCTGGCAAAAGCTATGATTCCCAGCTTAACCCTAGGCTAGCTACAGTAGTCCTGCACTAGACTTAACAAGAAACCTTATCAGAATTCTTGACACTTAAAATATTTTCAGGGGAAAAATTGCAGAAAGGGAAGGTTTAGTCCTTCCAAACTGAAAGGAAAGCGTGTTATTGAGCTGGGAGCAGGTTGCGGTGTTGCAGGATTTGGTATGTAGTTAACATGTATGTATTGATATCTAAAGGATTCCCTTCTTATGTATGGTTATACCTTTGCTTAAAACTAGAAATTTGGTATCTTAAATTGGAGTTTGTGTTCATGTGCCAGCTTTGGCAATGCTGGGGTGTGATGTGGTTACAACTGATCAAAAGGAGGTATTACCACTGCTAAAGAGGAATGTAGAATGGAATACCTCCAAAATCTTGCAGATGAATCCTGGTTCAGGTTTGTGTTGATACTGTCTTCTCTAAGTAGTATCTGTTTCTTGCTTCTTTTACTGTCTGATTCTGTAGTATCTGCATCTTTCTTCGTCTTATTATGCCACAGATAAGTTAGTAGAACAACACACTTAACTTTATCGAGTTATACAAAATCTTAGGTGGTTGTCTTCTTTTTAATTAGCGTCTACTGAAGCTGTCATTCCTTGTAGCATCGTTTGGATCACTCCGAGTTGCAGAACTCGACTGGGGAAACGAAGATCATATAATGGCTGTTAAACCGCCCTTTGACTATGTCATCGGTACTGATGTTGTAAGTTAATCGGAATATTTAAATGATTCATGATAATTGTTTCCATTAGTGAGACTAGTGAAGCCCACGGGATTTGTGACTGAATTCACCTTCAATTTGCTTAAGGTATATTCTGAGCAGCTTCTGGAACCTCTATTACGTACAATACTTGCATTATCAGGGCCAAAGACAACAGTTATGGTATTAATTAAGATACTTGGATTTGCTTAATACTATTGTTGGAACTACAAGATGATCGGTTATTTTTGTTTTCTAGTTGGGATATGAGATACGTTCCACTGTTGTTCATGAGAAAATGCTTCAGATGTGGAAAGACAACTTCGAAGTCAAAACCATACCTAGATCTAAGGTGAAGAACAACACTGATGGCACAGTCACCTTTAAATTTCTGTTAACTATGTAATCTCTTATTCTGGAATGAAATCTGCAGATGGATGTTGAATACCAAGATCCGAGCATTCATCTGTACATCATGGCACAGAAGTCTCCTGCTGAGAGCTCTGGAAGCACGACTCGAGATGAAGTTGTTGTTGACACAGACAAAACGAAAAGCGAGTATAAAGTCCCAGCCGGAGAATGCCATGATTTACCAAACCAGTTGGAAGAGGAAGCCGTTGCAACACATCATCCTCGCCTTAAGGAAGATAGTTTGTTGATGAGACTACGAGACGGAAAGCTAAGTGAATGGGAGATGAGAAGGTATGGTACAGTTGCTGCACAGCTTCTTCGTGATGTTAAGATAGATGTTCAGGTGCGTATATACCATTGTTGTTATAAAAGCTCTCTTATATAAAAAAAAATTGTGAAATCATTCTTGTAAAGTTTCTTTGATTTTATTTGTAGGTGAAAAAATGACTTTGCATAAGCGACTTTCAGAGCCTTGTTCCTCCAGACCTCCGCATTGTGATTTTTTTTGGTTGGTATCATGGACAATGCATACAATGAATGAATCCCCTAGACTTTTTTCGTTCACGGATTTAGCTATTTGTGCTTCTGTGATGTGCTGTATGCTACAACTAATTCCTTGATAAAATTTCTGAAATATATTCAAATAAATATCACACATATCAAAAGAACAGGTCAGACTCGAACAGTATTCATAGCATCAAACTGATTATATTGATAATGGACGCACATGTTATTTAAACAACGATAACGACATCTTAAACTTAGCTTATCGTGTGGTTTACAAAAAAAAAAAAAACTTAGCTTATCGTATGTCAAGAAACAGGACTCAGTTGTTCGGATTATTCGCTGAAACAGGAAAATTCTTCAATTGTATGGGTGATATGAGCACAAGAACACAAATATGCACTCGTGACTTCCTTAAGCTGCATTTACGGTAGTTGTCCCAATAGTCTTGAGATCAAAGATCTCGATCCAGTAGCCATCAGGATCCTTAATGAAGGCTATATTCTTCATCTTTCCTGCATGGTTTACATCAAGTAAGGGATTAAAACCAGATTCCTCAAACAGAGTTGCAGGTAAGAATATATATCAACTGTTTACTGAATTCAGCTGGTAATAGTAGTACCATCGTTTGGCTTCTTGACAAACTCTACTCCCAGTTCTTCAAATCTCTCACATGCCTTGTGCACATCATCAACTGTAACCCCAATGTGCCCTGTAATAGCAACAAAATTCTTTAGACATTTGTAGTAATATAGGACTTGCCATAATAATCATGCTTCAATTTTTAGGAATATTAACTGGTTCAACTGATGTTCTACATTCTAGCCACCCAATTTAAAGCTCCCCTAAAACATAACCTACCGAAACTCTATTCAGTTACTTCTGAATGTAGAGAGATAATAAGATTGGATTTCATTTCGAAGGAGGTTACCAAATCCACGAGGCTCAGAGTTCCCATTGTGATAACCTGTAAACTCAGGATCACTCTCTGTACCCCAGTTGCTGCAAGCAAAATACACATGTAAGGAACGATCAATTCAAGAAAAGAAAGGTAAGGCATTAGCGTTTGTTTCTTACTGAGTTAATTCAATTGTTGCAGGTCGACCAAAGGTCCAAACTGTTCTCTCTGTTGGATCGGTTGGAGCTGTTGTAGTATCCTGTACATAATAAACGTATCAACACACAACTTTTTTGTTACTCTCCACTAAAGATATATATATTCATCTAAGTAATTCCCGAACACGAGAAACAAATATTTCAGAAACTAACAGTTTTAACTCCACTTTTACTATAGGCATTTAAAAACATCAATAGATTGCTTGCTTAATTTTCAGTGTTTAAAAATTAGTGTGCCAAAAACTCAGATGCATGAGTTCCTAGAACTTTATGCATCATAAATATAAATTAAATGCTTTCATCATGATAGTATGCAAACTGCAAAATTCCATACTTTATGCTTTTCTACTTTCTACGATCACCTCCAGCTTGGCGAAAAGGTCACAGAACAAAAATATACCTCGTAGCCCAGGAAGTACAAACTAAATTTCATCTCAGAGAAATCCAGCCTCTTCAGCAATCTGGATAAACATAACATATAACGAACGCTTAAGAACAGCAGAACGAATTGGTTCCTTGAGGACTTGAGAGAGAAGATCATTCAAGAAATAAAAAAACTTACGACATTCCCAGCACACGGGAGTAGAAGTCAAGACTAGCCTTAGGGTCCTTGATCCGAAACATCTGAGAGTTGCAAAAAGATGGAACAAAAACAAATCACTATCTACAACAAGAATAAAGAAAACAGATTACAACACCTAATCAGAGGGGAACAATACTCAAAAGTTCAAGAAAA